AGGGGCCTGGATTCGATCCCTGGTTGGTGAACTAGGATCGCACAAGCCATGTGGCAGAGACAAAAAATAAAGTGTCTATGTAATAACACATAGACACTTTTTTTTTTTTTTTTTTTTTTTTTTGCGGTACGCGGGCCTGTCACTGTTATGGCCCCTCCCGTTACGGAGCACAGCCTCCGGACGCGCAGGCTCAGCGGCCATGGCTCACAGGCCTAGCCGCTCCGCGGCATGTGGGATCTTCCCAGACTGGGGCACGAACCTGCGTCCCCTGCATCGGCAGGCGGACTCTCAACCTCTGCGCCACCAGGGAAGCCCACATAGACACTTTTTTAAAAAATTAGATTAAATCAATTTTAATCTTCGTTGAACTTTTTGGCATCTTGGCATTCACATATTAAACAAAATACCCTTTAAGGAATATATTTACTTTTTAGTTAATTCAGTTAGGCCTGGAGTCTTTCAAGGTTATCCTTTCACAAGGTCATCTCCTTCCTCAGTTAAAAGTGAGTCATTTGGTTTTACGGATGTACAGTTGGAGAGACCAAAATAAGCAAATAGCTGATGGTGCTGAGAAATTACCATTCTTGCTGGAGACTGTCAAATTTTCCATATATAACTATTAAAATTTTATAATGAAATTGTAATGTTATAAAGTTTTTTTTTAATATAACTTCAGTATTCCAGAACTTTATTTGTTCTATAATGATGATTTGGGTCTCTATCACATCTGATTTTAATATTCAACTATTCAGCATCTGGCTAAAATGTGAATCCAATGCATCTTCAGGAGAGAGGAAGAAAGAAAGGAAACATAAAAATACAAGAAGAAAACATAGGCTAATTGCTTTATAAACCTGGGACTGCAGATAAATTTGCCTACACAGAAATCCAAATAACTTTCAATAGTAACATATGCAATAGACAAAGATGGAAGACAAATGACAAATTCCTAACATTTTCAATTTGTATCATAAACAAATATATAAACATCTCCTAGAAACTGATGAGAAAAAACAACCAGCAATCCAGTATGAAAACAGGCAAGAAGATACAGTTCACAGAAAAAGAAATAAAACAGTTATTAAATATATGAAAAGGAACTCAAGATCACTCATACTTCAGAAATGTACCTATTTGTCACCTATTAAATTGGCAGAAATCCAAAGTCTAAAAAACACTGTTTAGTGAAGCTATTTAGAAAATGGAGACTTACTCACATAGGTGCTGGGAATGGAAATTGGTACAAGTGTAGAGAACAATTGGGCAAAAACTATCAAAAAACATATGCATACATCCTTTGACCCAAGAATTCCACTTCTGGGAATTTATTCTACAGATATCCATCTATGCAAGCAATGCATATCATTCACTACAGCAACCCTTATCACTGCACAAGAAAGGAAATGCAGCAAATATCCAGCCGTGGGGGGGATGGATAAATAATTATGTATGATACAATACCAACCATACAATAAAATATTATGCACTTGGAAAAAACCAACAACAAAGAATCCTCTGTGTCCTACTACAGAATGACCTCCAAAACCTATTACGTGACAAAGCAAGATGTACAATAGTACATATATTCTGTATACAGAATGCTCTTTTGTGGGAAAAAGAACGGGGCGGGGGAAATAATACAAATTTCTATTTGAATTTGAATTTTAAAACTCTACCCCTTTGTATATTATTTTTGAATCACATGAATGTACTATCTCCTTGTGATAGACTGCATTATTGGTCCCAATTCTTCATCCTCCCTGTAGCCACACCCTTGCTTTGGCCTCATTGTGGGTGGAATGTACCTTCCCACTCCTTGACAGGGCTTGGCCGTGTGACTTGCTTTCATCAATGATATATGGGTAGAAATGATCGTAAGCCAGTGGCTTGCCAAAAATCAGAAAATACTACAAAGGCACAGGAACCAAGTCATTATGGTGTTGGTAGTAATTCACAAATTGCACGTTAGACAAAAAAGAAAGAAGAATCCTGAATTAGATTCCAGAATATACAGTCAGTCCTCCATATCTGTAGGTTGCATATCAACCTGTAGGTTGGACTCAACCAACTACAAATCAAAATTATTCAGGAAAAAAAAATCCAGAAAGTTCCAAAAAGCAAAACTTGAATTTGCCACTCATTGGCAACTATTTATACAGATTTTAGATTGTATTAGGTATTATAATTAGACATAATTTAAAGTGTATGGGAAGATGCACATAGGTTATATGCAAATGCTACACCATTTCATACAAGGGATTTGAGCATCCACAAATTTTAGTATCCTCAAGGGTTCTGGAACCAATCCCCCATGGATACCAAGGAACAACTGTATGGCAGGTTAACAAATGACAGAGATGCGTTCAATTCAGTGGAAAAAAGATGGAGTGTTTAACACATAGTACTGGCACAAGTGGCTATCTACCTAATGAAAATAAAATGGGACACGTATACTAGGTACAAAAATAAATTCCAGGTAGATTAAAAGCATAAGTTAAAACAATTAATTAAAAAATCTTGCAAAAAAATTAAGAGAATACACGCATAATCAAACAATCAAGGAGATGTCCCTAGTGAAGTCTGGAAACATAGAAGCTATAAAAGACATAACTGAAAAAAAAAAAAAGACATAATTGATGACCCCAAAATGAAAAATATTTGTATGAAAATTGATACCACAAAGTCAACAGACAAAAGATTATTTGTAAAAAATATTTTTCAATGTGGGACAAAAGATGAGCAGCAAAAATACACAAAGAACTCTTACAAACTGATTTAAAAAAAAAAAAGGAGGTCCCACTTCTGGTAATAATAAGGTAGCTTGTATCAGACCAAACATCCTATAGATTACAACTACAAACTCTGGGTGAAACGAGAAAAACAATGATCTGAAGGTACTGGCAAAAACCGGAAGGGAGACACCACTTGGAAGAGAGACAACACTTGGAAGAAGGAACAGCAGTGGCTGAATTCTGCATCTTATAAGCTTTGTGTCTATAGCTCCAGTGATAAAAATCCACCACCTTGGCAGAATGCCAAATTCTGCATATATAACTCTTCCCACACCTCTGGCTGACCCCTGAACCATGCATGTGCATGGCAGACTTGAAGCAGCCTCGTTAAAAGCGTCAAACGGATTTCACCTACTACTCATCAAAGGGAGACAGAGTTTGGAGTTTGAGTTCAGCCTACTTAACAAACAAATTAGAAACATAACAGAATCCATAGTTTCTGCAACACATCATTCATAATGTCCAGAATATAATCCAAAATTACTAGACATGTGAAAAGCAAGAAAATGTGACCCAAACTCAGTAGAAAAGGCAATCACTGGAACATCTAACATCTGAGATAACCCAGATGTTAGAATTAGCAGAAAAGGATCTTAAAGAAAGTTGTTATAACTATCTCAAGGATGCAAACAAAGAAATATCAGTAGAGGACTAGGAAATTCTAGATCTTAAATATCTAAAATAAAACATTATTGGAACTGGCTTAACAGCAGATTGGAGGAGGGAAGAAGGAGTCAGTGAACTTGAAACCAGATCAATAGAAATGATCTAATTTGAGGAACCAAGACAAACAAAATTAGGAAAAGATATGAACAGAGCCTAAGAGACCTGTGTGACAATATCAAAAGGACATGAGACACAACATGTGTGTAGTTGGTGTCCCAGAAGGGCAGGAAAGAAAAAACAGCACAGCAAAAATCTTTGAGGAAATAATGACCAAAGTTAAATTTGGCGAAAGACAAATTTACAGACCAAAATGCCCAGCAAACCCCTAACAGGATAAATACATACAAAATCTAGGCACATCACAAACTGCTAAAAACCAAAAATAAAGAGAAATTCTGAGAGCAGTCAGAGAAAAACACCATATTATATACAGGGGAGTGACTATTCAAATGACCACTAACTTCTGACCTCCAGCAAGGAGACCAGAAGACAGCAGAACATCTTTAACGTGCTGAAAGAAAAAAAACACCTGTCAACCTGGAATTCCACATCCAGTGGAAATATCCTTTAAGAATGAAGGCAAAAGAAAGACATTTTCAGATAAACTAAAGCGAGAAGAATTCACCATCAGCAGACCTGCACCACAAGAAACCCTAAGGGAAGTTCTTCAAGCTGAAGGGAAATGATAACCAGAGGGAAACTTCAAGAAGGAATGAACCAGAAACTGTAAATCTGTGGGTAGATATAAAAGGCTATCTTTTTACTCTCTTACCTTCTCGCATTACGGCTATCACATAAAGTTCAAGGATGGTAAGTGAAACTCTTAAGGTTGCAAGGCCGTTGTATTTGGTACATTATTAATGAAGTAGACTGAAAAGTTGAGCGTGTGTACTGGGGTCCCTAAAGCAACTGCAAAAAAGAATGCAGGGAGCTGTGGGTGCAGTGCCAAGGGCCCGTGTCTCAACAGGAGTGTGGGGCATGTGCACAACTGTCCACACTGATGAAACTGTATACTTCTTAAGATCTGTGTGTATCGCTGTATGTAATTTATATCTAAATCTTTAAAAAAAAGTTTTCTTAAGAAAAAAATAAGTGCCTGGCTCAGAGTAGATATTCAATAATTTATTTATTATTGTTAGTATTCTGCTAAACTTCAGAACATCAGTTTAAGAAATACTGTCCTATCTTAGGGCCTATTTACTGAGCACATGCTTGTCCTTCTGCCTGGAATGTTCTCACTCCACACTCTTCCCCTAGGAAGAGTGAAAATGCCTAGGCATCCCTCGGTCTCAGCCTAAATGGCATTTCCTTTGGGAAGCCTTGCCTAATATTCTCCCAGCAATGGACAAATTAATACAATCAATTACATGCTCCCACAGCACCCTGGACTTGCAGCACTTGCTGCCTGTTGCCCATTTCCTATGAGGCTGTAGGACCCACAAGGGCACTGGCTCTGCTCAGTGCTGAATTCTCTACCTCAGCACAGTGCCTGGTACCCAGAGACAAAAGGCTCCCAAACCTCTTTTCTCCTTCCCAACGTACCGTTTGGCTCTTTCCAGGTCATCATTGGCTTGCTCCAGCTCTCTGATGTATTTCTGAAGTTGATCTTTAATGGCTTTTGTCTGGGCAAGGTCATCCTCTAAGGCTGAGATCTGCCGGTAGCCTTCAGAATGCTGCGTTTCAAACTTCTCCTGAAGGACAGAATCAACACTGAGTGAATGATTTAAGACTCCCGACGAGGATGTTTATCTCCCTTCCCTGTCATCTCCTTAGGACATCGAAGGTTAATCCTGGGACATAACCCTCTCCGCTGCAGTGAATGTGTGTTGTCCCTAGCTGCTGAGCATCCATTCCTCCCCCTCTGCACAGCCCCACCGGCACGCCAATTTCTTTACAATTAATTTATTTTTATTATTTATTTTTGGCTGTTGGGTCTTCGTTGCTGCGTGTGGGCTTTCTCTAGTTGCGGCGAGCAGGGGCTACTCTTCGTTGCAGTGCGCGGGCTTCAGTAGTTGTGGCTCGCGGGCTCTAGAGCGCAGGCTCAGTAGCTGTGGCTCACAGGCTTAGGTGCTCCACAGCATGTGGGATTCTTTCCGGACCAGGGCTCGAACCCGTGTCCCCTGCACCGGCAGGCGGATTCTTAACCACTGCACCACCAGGGAAGTCCCACGCCAATTTCTTTAGGGGATTTCTCTCTCCCTTATTCTAGGATCTTTGTGGGACCAGCCTTCCCATCACACTCACTCAGGATGCCAGAGGACAAGCCTAAGCTCAGTCAGGAGAACCTTCTGTCCACAGACATGGACTCTTAAGCAAATGAGGGATGATGGGGGGAACAGGGGGCCATCAAGCTGTCAAGTCCCGCATGCTTCCTGAGCATCTTATACCCTGCCCCCTCCCACACTGGTCCCTGCAGCCTCTGGCATCAAGCAGCCCCCAACTATCTTCAAAGGAATCATTTTGTGCAAGGTGTCCACAGCCACAGAAAGCCTCATAAACCTCTCCGAGCCTGATCCACAAGGGCAAAACCGATGCACTTCACATGATATCCCTGGATTACAGACAGAATAGCAGGAATCACAATGACTTCGCTGCCTGTGCCTCACAGTCAGATCAGGACATCATGGACTCAGTTTGACAACTGTTCTGACTTTGTGACCCAGGACACTCTCCCTGTGGCATGGGGGAGTTAGGAACTTCTGGGCCTCTGAGGAGGGAGAGAGAGAAGGGAGGGAGGGAAAGGGAGGCAGGAGGGAAGGGAAGAAGGAAAAAAACAAAACTGTTGTTTTTACCAAAAAAAGTTTAGTGTGATCTAGCTGGTGCTTTCCAAGGCAAGGCACAGCCCAGATGACGCCTCAACAACCTGCTGCTGCCCAGCTATGGCAGCTAACATTTGCCACATGTCTACTCTGCACCAGCCTCTGGGCTCAGGACGCTGTTTTTGTTGCCTCATTTAACGCCATTTCAGAGACATGGGAACTGAGGTTCAGTCACTTCATCAGCCCAAAGTCAACTGGAAGCACGTGACCGGGCCAAGATCCATCCCGGCCACCTGGGCTTGCGCTCTTAGAACTACTATGCTAAACTGCCCTCAACCACTTCCATCCAGGTCACACGGGAACTGATCACATGTACGCGTGCGCACACGCACGCACACATGCACACACACACACACACACACACACACACACACACACACACACTCACTCACTCACTCACTCACTCACTCACTCACTCACTCCGGCTCTGGCTCCTCTCTCTAATTACTTTCCATCATCAAACACCCTTACCACCTTTCCTTCATCTACAAACATGAAAGAAAACACTCACTTCCCACAGGAAAGGCCCAAGTCTAATTAGAAAGTTAGAAAAACAGGCCAACTCCTCTTCTTGAGTCAGTCGAGTAAACAAAGCTGTTGCTAGAAACAGTCTGGAGGCGCTGGGGAGAGTGATGTAATGGTGACCGGGCCAGAGAGGTGTGGCCAGAGCCATGGTGGAAGAAGAAGGTCCACAGAACAGGCAGATTATTTACAAGGCGAGGACAGGGAGGGGTGTCACATCCTTACGCTGCTCTGTCTCCTCTGATACTGTTTCCTGGCTACGAGCACAGGAAGTGTCTTGGCTCAGACAAGCAGAGGCAGACCAGGCCCAGGCATGGGCGAATTCCCAGGCGTGGCTCTGACGGCTTCCCACCCTTGATTTGGGTGCCTCCCCAAATAAAACAGGAGGGCACAGGATCCTAGGTCACTAACCTAAGTTCCAACACAGGTTCCAAGAAGACGCAGTTACTGGGCTTGTCCACCAGCATAAGGATTCAAATGTTGTCCTTTGAACTTGGGGACATGAAAAGCTGTTGCGCTTTCATTTGGGGCTAATTATAATAAACTGTCAGCTGATGGAGGCATCAATAGATGCTCTGTTGGATCCCTTACAAGCGTTTTTATTCAACTTGCAATGAATAAGCCACTGTCAAGGAGTCTGACTCAGTTGAAGACTTTCCTCTTAGGTGACAGAAATATGTGCTGGGGGCAGTTCTTCACTCCAAGGTAGTTCTGTTTCCTCGCCTGCTCCACACACTGTGTCTCATGAACCTGCCATGTGGTTGTAATGAAGAGGTCTTCTGCCGGTTCAATGGCTCAGTCTGGAAGTGGTTAATTACTTAGCAACTGCACGATATTTAGTCAGCACATCCTCCTACCCTCTCCAAACGATGGTTCATACCACTAGTCTTCCCATCCCTGAGCCCCCTTCAGTGTAAGGGTTGTAAAGATTCCCCAGTGCCTAGGGCAGGGGCCAGGCTGTTAACAAAATGAGTGACGTGGGCCACGTGTAAGCAGCAAAAGACACTCAGTCCCCGGTGTCAAGAGTTGGGGGGGAAAGGACAGAAGTGGGGACCAGGGCAAACTGGAGAAGGCTTGCTCTGTCTAAGCAACCACAACTCAGCTTTTTGCCGGTGTGGAAGAAGGCCGGCCTGGGGTAGCCAGATCCACAGAAGGAAGATCAAAGGAAGTCGGAAATCTAAGTTTTTACAAGAAGCCTCACAACTCTGAATGTTGATACTAAATATTAAAAAAAAAAACCCCACTAAAGATATAAATTTTACTATCAAAAGAACAAACCGTAAGCAAACCCTCACCTCTAGTTAACAGCCTACTGCAGTATTTACAGGGAAGTGTAGAGATGTCGGTGATTCACCTTGAAATGCATTGGGAAGATAGATTGATGGATGGACAGATATATAATAAAGTATGTAAGTATGGCAAAGGTCATCGGTAGAGCCCAGGTGGTGGATACAGGTGTTCACTGGAAAATTCTTTCAACCCTACTGTGTGCTTGAAAACTTTCATGATACAATGTTAAGTGAAAACCACTAAAGGCTTAAGCAAACAACATCTATGGGCCAGACTGACCTGTGGGTGGCCAGCTTGGGCTCTGTGGTCTATGCCGTAAAAGCTTAAGAGTCCACTGCTCAGTTTCTACGGTCTGTGTGGTCCTTCCTCTGCTACTCCTCACCCCTTGATCCCCAATCCATGTGCTGGCCCCGCTTTCTCCCAATCTGTGCTAGTAAAGCCAGATTCCCAAGGTCCACTTGACAGTCATTCTTGCCCGTGTCTGTGGCAGTTCCATATTAACTCTTCATCAAACCCTTGTACGCCAAGTTGTTGGCTAGACAGACAGACAGACAGACAGACAGACAGACAGACACACACACACACACACACACACACACACACACACACACACACACATACCTTCAAACACCAGCTCAAGTCCCTCCCATCTCTTCCATGATGCTGTCTACAACCCGTGCAAATCTCTCTCAGGAGGATCTCATGGTCAGTACCACATAACTGAGCATCTTTTCACTAAGTGTTTCTGGCTGTCAGGTTTGTCTTCTCCGCAAAGCTTCCAGAGGGCAAGGGACACATCTCCTTCCACCGTGCATCACACCTAGCCCTGGACTCACACTGCAAGGCCTTGGCTAGTTCTCCCAGTGGCTCATCAAAATATATGAGGAGCTTTGTTTTAAAAAGAAAAAAAAAAAAAAAACAAGACATGCAGACATGCTGGGGCCCCACCTAGACTTCCTGAGAATGGGAATCTCAGGGCGGGGTGGGTCCAGGCCTGTCTGACATTTATGAAGCTGGCCAGGTGACCCTGCCGGGCAGTGATGGCTGAGAGCTGTCCCTAGGCCACAGAGTTATACTTTGTGATCATCTGCTAAGCTCTACAGAAAGGCATTCTTTACCCTGCAGAGAAGTGGTTCTCCAGATACTTGGCAATGTCTGCAGATATTTTTGGTTGTCACAACCTGGGGGAGGGGGTGCTACTGGTATCTAGTGGGTGGAGACCAGGATGCTGTTAAACAGCCCACAGTGTGAAACTCGGCCCGCACAAGAGAATCATGTAGCTACCTTCAAATGTCAACAGTGCCCAGGTTGAGGAATCTGCTCTGTCCAACAGGACTTTCCATAATGATGGAGACATTCTACAGCCTCTCTGTCACACAATGACACCCACTAGAGACGTGTGGCCTTTGAGCACTTGAAATATTGGCTAGTATGATTGAGGAATTAAATTTCTAGTTATTTTAATTAACTTAAATGTCAGTAGCCGCACGTGGCTAGGGGCGACAATTCTGGACAGCATAACCCTAGGCCTTATCACAATCAGCAATTCCAGAGACACTCCATACTCTAGAAGGGTCTACCTTCCATGTGCCTTGCAGGATTGTCACCAACAGCCAAGAATGGCTGTGGGACATGTGTGAGACCTGCCTCTCACAGAGCGCCTCCATCAGGGGCATAAAGAGTTCAAGTGTCACACACGCCCGGCAGGCCTGGGGGTGGGAGTGAGCCCGGGGCCACGTCTGCAGGCTCCCTTTTCCAGTCACAACGCTGGGCACCATCCACACCTGCATGCGTCTCCTCTCACCCCCTCACCTTGATGGTTTCCAGCTCCATGCGAAGGCGGTTGTTTTCTGACAGCAGGTCCCTGTTCCTGGTTTCAATTTGTTGCAGCTGCGTCTCCAATTCAGCTTCATATTCTCGGCTTCCCTCCTGGAATTCTCGGAGTTCCTCTTGCGTGTTCTCTGCCCTACAGAATTCCCAGATGTTAGCTGATCATTTACTGAGCGCTTACATGCTGCTGTTATACATGTATCAGCTCTTTATTCAACTGCCTTTTGAGGCAGAAACTGTCATTGTCCTCATTATACAGATGAGAAGATGAGGTGACTTGTCTCGAGGTCAAGCAAGTCAAACAGAGCTTGGGCCTGCCCCCAGGTGTGCCTGACTCCATAGCCCTTTCTTAACCAATTCACTCTCCACGCATTCATTCCACTTGTATTTTTTGGAGCCCAACATGTAGTAAGCACACTTTGGATTGTGTATTCTCTGATTTATTTGCAAGTAGAAACTGGACATAATACAAATGCTCACTCATCACACCACTATCATGGGTCCCTGCCCCATATCCCAAACGCCCAATTCTACCTTCTCAATCCTTAAAAGTCAAGGGATATCTTTTTTTTTTTTAACACCAAGCCTAAATTCTCTTTAAATCAAACTAAGCATAAAGAAATTAGAGGAGCCGGAATAAGACCTCCCTGGGTAGATTACAAGAGTCCATGAGAAATAAAAAGAAACAACGTTAAACACACACACACACACACACACAGCTCCCAGATATGGGCACTGAAACACTGGTTTCAAATTTAAAGATCTGTAACAACCCATTTTGCTAGGCATAGGGAGTTCTTTCCCCACACACGAAGGGCAGACCAGATACAGCATCCAGGAGCTGATAAAACCCTGCCAGAAAATAAGCTGGGAAGTAGCACAGCCGTTTGATTAGGACCCTAGGCTTTGGGGTTCAAATTCCAGCTCTGCTATTCCCCTGGCTGTCTGACCTTGGGCAAGTTGACTTGCTTTCACTGAGGCTCAGTTTCCTCATTTGTAAAATGGGGTGAGAATGGTTTCTCCATGGAACAGTGTTGAGATTTAACTGAGATGATGTATGTTAAGCCCTTCACAGTGCCTGGCACATAGTAGGCCCACAATAAATGGTTGCTGCCATCACTATGGGAAGAAAAAGCAAGGTGAACTTTGGAGAACTGACCTCTGCTTGTAGGTCATAGCCAGGTTTTTCCAATAGTTAGCTTCTTCCTCCTCGGAGCTGAAAGTCTTTCCCGAGTCCTCCATTGTGAAAACAGGGGAAAAGATTACTATTCTTGTCTCATGATGTCTAGAAGAGAAAGTTTTAAAATTATTACCCACATCTGGTTAAACAGCTGATCTTTAATGGGGAAAAAAAATTCCTAGACTTTATGTTGGATTAAATGTGGCAAAAAACATTGCCAAAAAACTAAAACTAAACCCAGACAAAATACAGCCCACCTGCACATTACATTCCATGGATAAACCTACCAGTGGGCTTCCCTGGTGGCGCAGTGGTTAAGAATCTGCCTGCCAATGCAGGGGATGCGGGTTCAAGCCCTGGTCCGGGAAGATCCCACATGCTGCAGAACAAATAAGCCCGTGCGCCACAACTACTGAGCCTGCATTCTACAGCCCATGAGCCACAACTACTGAAGCCCGCGCGCCTAGAGCCCGTGCTCCGCAACAAGAGAAGCCACCCCAATGAGAAGCCCACGCACGGGAACTAAGCTCGCCACAACTAGAGAAAGCCCGCGTGCAGCAAAGAAGACCCAACGCAGCCAAAAATAAAATAAATAAATGTACTAAAAAAAAAAAACCTACCAGGACTTGCTGATTTATTACATTTGGGGGGGGAGGGGAGGAGAGGGGAGGATGTCTCACGGGTTCTAACTTAGGCAACCAGGTGCCACCACCATCCCCATCACCAGAGACAGAGAATCAGAAGGAAAAGTCTTTAGGGTGAGGGGATACTGAACCCAGCTTGGGACATTTTTAATTGGACGTGCCTGTGATACACTGAGATGCAACACTGGATCTGAAACTCGGGGTGAAGTCCAGGCTAACAATACAAATTTAAGAATCATGAGTTTGTAGCTGGTTCTTCCTTTTTTCTTGTGACAGAACCATGAGATAATTGACTGAGAACTATTTATGGATCTCTGAGGAGTGCCAGTGTCTGAAAGCTGGGAAGAGAAACAGTGATCAGAGACAGAGGAGAAACAAGTGAGAGAGATGAGAACCAGAAGAGTGAGCTGTCCCGGGAGTAGACGGTTTCAAGGGGAAAAAAGAGAACGTTCCACAATATCCAAGATGCAACAGAGAAGCTGGTAAGGTAAGGACTGGGAAATATCCACCCACAAGACTTGGCAAAATGTCGGTCACTGGTGATGTGAGCAAGAATGGTTTCAACACAGGGAGGGGGGATAAACAGGGTGGAGGAGTAACTAGGAGGTGAGGAAGAGGAAGTAGGTGGCATTTTGGAGAACTGGGTATGAGAAGAAAAGGAGACACATTAGACAGTAGCCAGAGGGAAGTGATGATAAGGGCCTGGACTCAGGATTCTGAGCTATCCAGAGCAGAGGTTAGGGAACAAATTTCTATTAACAGTTATCAGTCTATGGACTCCCGGCTGATAAAGCCTCTCAATGTAACAGCTTATTTTCTCAATTTATTTAAGACTCTGAGCTTCTCAAAAGGTCATTAGGAATCCAAATGAGATCTCTCCGAAGTCCCTTCTTCCCCTCAAGCTAGCTCATGGTTCTGTCTCTGGGGACAACAGAATGAACACAACCCCTCAATCTGCAAGACATAACTAACAAGCTGTGTATCTGGCTAAGTATACAAATAATTCCACTAAATATGTCAGTGCTGACATGGACACAATCACCAACTTCTTTATCCCTGGTAGAAACTGAACAATGATACCTACATCCAAGCACAGTACTTACTGATAACTCTACATTTGTTAGGACCTGTATTCACACCTCTTCCTCCAAATTTCTCTCCCTTCCCTAATTCAGAGAAAACATGCCACGTCCCCACCCACTCCCTTCTGGGGAACAGAGCTTCTCCGAAAGCTTGACTAAAGCAGAGAAGCTGGATGGAGTAGAAAATTGTTAATTTGATTTTTTTTTTCCAGTCCATCATTCCTCTTCCATCTTTCTGTAACAGCACCCCAACATTCCCTTGGGGAAATCAATTCTACACTCCTTCCATGGGGCTCAGATGGACTTGACATCATCTTCTGCATCTGGGAGAAGGCATGTGACTACTCATGCCTCCAGCATCATCGGTAACGGGCTCAGAGGTGGGCCTAACCCAAGCTGAACCAATGACAAGGATCAGCCTAATCCAAACTGAGCCAATGATTGGCTCAGGGGTGCACGTAACCCAAGCTGAGCCAATGAGTGTCCAGGCCCAGGCCTTTCGCAGAGCTATCAAGAAAGAAACTCTCTGGAGTTGTTAACTGTCCTTACTGTAGTAATTATTTCACAAAATATACGGCTCAAACCATCACATGCTACACCTTAAACTTACACAACATTATATGTCAATTATATCTCCATAAAGCGCGGGGGGGAGGGAGGAGAAGAAACTCTTTCCATTAGGGTTCGTGGTGGTCATCTTGCTATCACAAGGGAGGAGCCTGCCTGAGAATGAAGCCAAAACAAAGGAAAGCAGGGCCAAGAAGTGGAGAGACTGGGTCCTGACAGTATCATTGGGACACCTGGGTCCAGTCATTCCTGATTTAAGGTTAGGAGAGATAATCAACTCCCTTTCTTGGTTGGACCAGTTAGGTCTGGATTTCTGCTACAAGAGAAGCCTAATTAACGTTTGGAGTGAAAGATCTTGTTTGCTGAAAGTACAAAGGATAGAGCACCTAGAGTGTAAATAACAGTAATTACCATGGTGACAGGTAAGGGTAAACCTAATTCTGGTAATCCTTGCTCAAGCCGCAAGCTTTAATGAGCCCAGAGCTCATCTAGTATGGGGTCACCAAACCAATGTCTATAGCGTTAAGAGACCAGAGCCCATGCAACTGTAACTGAGTGCTGTGTGGCCATTAATGATCATATTGAGGACAGTCTCAAATGCACGGTATGGGAGGAATTCTGTGTACAGGAGGGTGAGAAAGTGAGGAACTAGGAAAAATGAATGTACACTGACTTTTCCTGATGTTTGGAAACAGATCACGTCCAAGTTCAACGTAATGAGTCCCTGCCTACTTCTCTAAACATTTCCTACAGCCCTACACCTCACTCGCTTACGCTGCAGCCACACTGCCTTCTTTCTGTTCCTTGAACACATCAAGCTTGCTCCCACTCAGGAGGGTCTTTGAACTGGCTGTTTTCTCTGCCTGGAATGCTCTTCCCTCAGATCTCTGCTAGCAGATTTCCTTCTTGCTGTTCAGATCACAGCTGAACTGTCTTCCCCAGAGAGACCTTATCTGAACATCCCACCAAATACCTCCTCCAGCCCTTCACTGTCATATTAACCCCTGCTTTGTTTTATTTCATCACTTTATGAGTTTTGTTTTTGTTTTATCTTCCCCCACTGGAATGTCAGTTTTGAGCACAGGGACCTTCACCATCTTACTTTTTTATTCCCAATTCCTTGAACAGTGCCTGGCATATAACAGGCTTTCAATAAATGCCTGTGGAAGGAACGGACACAGGGAAAGATAGAGACTAGCCACTCGCTGGAAGGGGATGTGAGGTTAAGGGAAAAAAGCAAGAGACCCTCTGCAGGCTAGTTTATAGTTTACTTCTGTAAATCCCTAAGATACTTAACAGGATGGGGAAAACCTTTCTCCCTCGGCACCTGAGTGGCATCTCATTAATGGGAAGGGGCTGGAGGACAGGGTGCCATGTTGGAAACTACCCCCTCCCCAGGTGCACATGATAAGGAGTATCTGATACAGTTACTGGAGTTTAATAACCTTCAACCTGCAATCTTACGACAGATGAGTTTTAGAAAAGGGCTCTTTATCACAGCCAGTGAGGCTTATAACTTAAGCCTCAGTAAAGAAATGAAATTGAGATGTTTTAGGAGGCGCTTCCACTGTGGCTCTAATTACAGCCCCTGCATTTTAAAAACACCCCTAGGGAAGAGAAAAACTATGCTAGAGGCTAAGAGGAAAGAAGTAACAGCTGAACCTCACTTTCTTATGAAACAGCATACTTAAAAACCTGACTTTTTTTTTGGCCATTTGAAAATGTCTCAGAAAGTTCTAATGTGCATTACTCCCTGCCACAGATAGCAGGTAAGACAACTGGCAAAGGTTCCCCTTTTCCAGCATTATTTACTAAATTTTATCATCACCTTCTAGTTGTGGTGTGTTAGGCATTTAATACATTATTTCCAAACAACTTGACCCTCTTTAAGCTGCTTAACTGTAAGGGGTAGGTAAGCAAGGCAATCACCTGGTTTCTTAGGAAGCTAAAGCAGAAACATTGTATGCCTTGGCCATCTGCATAGGTGCAACGGAGTGGCAAACCAGACCCAAGTGCAAGGGAGTCTTTGAATTCAAATTCCAGATCTCCCTGGGGTTGCCAATAGACTGGAGGTCAGTTTCACTCTTTGGTCCATGCAGTCTTTTGAAAGGCACTGTGTCAGGCAGGTGTTAATGCTTGGTCACAGCATACACAACTTTGTACCCACTCTCTTAAAAGTGGATACTGCATTCATTTATTGCATCCGATCCACAGGGATATGTCTTCCTAACTTGCGTTCTCAATACACCATGATGCCGTCATGCCCCAGTAGCTCGGTGGACAAACCTGATGGGTACCTCAAATGTATGTGCTACAGCACAAAAACTGGGATCAAGTGGTCCAGTAAGTACTTATTTTCTATTTTGGATAACTTAGATCTATTACTCTTACAAAAGTGTTTCAGCAAGTTTTTGGGGGGCGGCTATTTTCCATGATCAAACCTAACAGGAAAGTCTGAAAACACACTTGAGACACACACCTTTGATTTCAAAACTCTAGAAAAAACAAAGCCTTTCTCAGCTCTCCTCTGAGTGAAGAAAGCCAGCACAGCTGGTCAGGAGCAACACACATATATAAACCATCAGGAATTAACGGCCCTTCTCCACCCCAACCCCAATCCCTCCCAATCAAAACACATGGAAGAGCAGAAGGGAAAGGGAGAAAAAGAAAGAAACTGCCAGAGACTGGCACATGCTCCCACGGCTTCTACGTTATGACGCAGGCTTTGCATTTTGCAGAAGTGACATTACTGGGGCAAAATCAGTCAAGAGTCAGCAGGTCTGACTTCTGTCTCGGTGCTTTCAAAGTCTTTAATGACCTACCTACCAGAATACCTCACTAGGCATGCAAGGACATATGCTCAAGGGTGTACACCATCATTGACTGAGGGGAAAACTGGAGGAACTTAACTGTTGACAGAGGACTGATCAGAAAATGGTGCAGTTAAGAAGTAAATATACTGGGCTTCCCTGGTGGCGCAGTGGTTGAGAGTCCGCCTGCCGATGCAGGGGACACGGATTCGTTCCCCGGTCTGGGAAGATCCCACACGCCACGGAGCGGCTAGGCCCGTGAGCCATGGCCGCTGAACCTGTGCGTCCGGAGCCTGTGCTCCGCAACGGGAGAGGCCACAACAGTAAGAGGCCCGCGTACCACAAAAAAAAAGAAGTAGTAAATGTACTGATATGGAAGAAAGTTTATGATATGTTAAGAAAGTGTCATTTTTGTTTGCAAATGTATCTCCCTCTGAGTATACAAATAGAAGAGTCTGTAAGGATATACCAGTATGGGGGTAAGGCAGACACTGAGATTCGAACATGTACCTGACGCTTCTCTAAGATATATACTGTTTTTTGCAGTAAGCACATATTGCTTTTGAAATTTTAAGAAGCTTAAACTTGGACGAAAAGAAAACAAATTATCCTGTCCAAGGATAATTTTTACTTTCTTGAACCAAGAGGCCAAGGAAGGAGCTTTTCCTACGGAGGCGTTCCCCTCCTCCGTTCCTTTTCAAACATTTCCCAACACCTACTAAGTGCTGGGCACTGCTGAGCGAGGCAGACACAAAGCACCTGTGTCAGGATTAGGTACAAACATAGTACCAGTTGCAGGCACAAACTTTCCACATGCAGGCATGCTCGTGTTAGGGAATTATCTTGTGAGGAAGCAGAGTGTAATCTCTCTGGGCTCACACGTTCTAAAGCAAAAGAACACACTCTGGAAACAAAAATCACATCCTAACAGAATAAGCCAAGTTAAGAAACTATTAACCAAATGGGATGAAATATACCAATCAGAGGCCTCTGACACTTCAGGAGCATAGATCATCTACATTTTTAAGTTTCAAAAATGGTTAAATACCAACGCTGGGGTCAGATAACAAGGGGCTCTGGGAGTCGCTGGGATCCAATTACTCTTCAAAGTACCTTACCCATGTCCTAAAATGCCATCCTATCCTAGGATACATGAACAAAACTCGCACAGAAAATGAGAAATTTCTGTCCGGCGCGTGTTGCAAAGGTCGTTTCTTTAGAAAGGAAGTTAAAAGGGGCCTAAAGGTAGAGAGGGGCACAACATGATAAAACCCTGGACAAAGAAATCCGGGAAGGTCGAGCCCTCGGGAGACAGCGAACTTGAGATGACTGGAGAAGATAATGTAGCTTCCCCAAAAAGCAATATCAAGGTGATGGCGGGGTTTCCTATGACCTCAGAGGCAGGTGAGCCCAGCCACCGCATTCAAGCTGTAAAATAAGCGTTTTCATCCTTTATCCAATCCTTCCCCAAAGTGCTGTCAGGGGAAATCTGAACCGTCCTGCAACAGAGATCTGAGGAAAGCGGAGGGAGGAAGACCGTTCCAAACACGTTCCCAAAGGGAGGGAAGTGCCAAGGAGGAGGGAGGTTTTTGGAAAGAGGCCTGCACCGAGGGTGGAGGTGGGTGGGGACGTGGGCGGGAGGGGGGCTACGAGGAATGAGGGGCGGTGGGGGGCAGCAGAAGGCAATGACGAGGACTGAAGGGCAGAAAACTGAGCGAGAAGGGAGACCAGGGGAGTCGGGGTGGGAGGGAACAGGAGGGCAGAGCGGCCGGGCTGCGGGGACCCGGGACGTGGAGAGCAGAAGGACCGAGGAAGTCTAGGACGGAGGGGGAGGGCAGCGGGGTCGGAGAGAGGCGAGCGCAGAAAGAGAAAGAAAGCTGGCAAGGGTGAGGAACCAGGCGCGAGGGACTCGAGGGTGTGAAGGCACAAAGTTAAGAAGGCAGGCTCCAGGGAAGCGCAATTTTCGAGCCCAGCACCCGGGAAGCGACGCGCAAGTGAGGGGCGCGCCAGGGCCCCTGCACGGCGGCGGCCCGGGGTCCCGAGAGCGTGGCGGGCGCCGGGGCGGGCAGAAGAGTTTCCCGGCGGCCGTGGCGGTGGCGCTGGCAGTCCCCAGGAAGTCCCCACCCCGGGGGCCGCAGCTCCGCACTTACCCGGCTCCGGCTGTGAGGAACCGCGACGGCGACGGCTGCGGCAGCGGCTGGGGGCGGTGCGCCCCGGGCCTCCAGCCCCCGCCCCCGCGCCCGCGCCCGCGGCCGGCGCCGCCCATTGGCTGCCGCGCTACGGGACCGCGTCTGCCTCGGCCAATCAGCGCCGAGCAGCGCCTTTTGGAAACTTTTTTCCCAGGGCCCGGGCGCGGCATGGCCACGCGGCGGCCCTGGGCGGGCTGGCGGGAGGGGCCCTGGGAGGCTCCCGCTGCTGGGCAGGGTTCTGGCCCGCCTTGGAGGCTAAAGGGTGCTCCCTGGACACCGGGGGGACGGGCTGGGATTTGCGGGCCACGCACTTCAAGAAAATATGACTCCCTCCCCTTGACACCGGTTGCATTTTCCTGTTCTTGGCTTTTCCCCAAAGCAGATAGGACAAAGATCTAGGTCCAGTGAGGATAAGCAATGCCCCAGGTCCTCCCCACAACTTTACAACCAATATAAAATTTTCTTTTTTTTTTAAGACCTTTTGATGTGGACCATTTTTAACATCTTTATTGAATTTGTTATAATATTGCTTCTATGTTATGTTCGGTTTTTTGGCTGGGAGGCATGTGGGAATCTTAGCTCCCCCACCAGGGATGGAACCCCAACCCGGAACCCACACGCCCCCTGCATTGGAAGGCAAAGTCTTAACCACTGGACTGCCAGGGAAGTCCCACAACCAATATAACAATTTTCACATCATTATCTTCTTCAAAGGCAGCAAAACTCCTTTACAGGAGATTGTTTTCGAGCCTGGCTTTGAATCCTTGCTCTGTCCCTTAGTAGCTGTGTGATCTTGGGCAAGTTATTCTCTCTGTGACTTACTTTCCTCATCTATAAAATGGGGTTATGCAGAGACGAAATGAGTCAACTTGGCATTTGCAAAACGTTTAGGACAGTGCCTAAGCACATAGTTAAGTACAATCTATGTAGTGATCATGATTTTTCAATTGGTTATCTAGGTCTGGCATAATGCTAACTTCTTGATGTTCACCAACGAATATTTATTGAGCACTCACTTATATCAAAATAAATGTCAAACAAGACACCTGTCCTCAAAGGGCTTATAGTACTAAGAAAGGACACTAAATCAGCAAACAGAAACAGTGAAATAATGTCAGATGCTAATAAGTGCTATGACTAAAGCAAGGTCATATGATAGAAAGGGGCTGGGGAGGGGTCCCTGCAGATAGAATGTCAGGGAAAGCCACTCTACCAGGTGACAATGGAGCTGAGACCCAGATGATGAGAACCACAGGAAAGCACTTTTATGGTCCTCATTTTAAAGCTGAGAAAAGGGTGCAGGAAGTTAAATGCATTGCCCAAGGTTTCACAATTAATAACAAATCAGACTTCAAAGCTGGGTCTGTTTGACTCCTACACTGGTGTTCTTCAGCACAATGCTACAGGCAGAGATCTTAGCTGCTTTGAGGCCTCCAACCAGTCATAGAATCCCTCCTGCATCCCTGCCATGGTTAAGAATGACCTTTAATTCTACTTCGACTCCTTGCTACTTCCTGAAAGAAGCTCGGAGATGCAAAAGGGAACTACCACTTACATCAACGGGGTTAAGTATCAAAGTGTCTTTTAGGAAACTTCCATCCTGGCCCCAAATGCTAATAAATCATTTGCACCCCCTTGACACTTTCCAGAGCCTCACCATTCTGTGAGGTTTCTGGGCAGAGAATAATCACCCCAGTTTAAAGATAAGCTGAACCACAAGTTGATGAGCTATCAGTACTGACTACATGACATTAAATCATTTAAACCAGTTGATTTTCAATTTCCTTCATTTTTCCATTAAAAATAAAAGGGAGAAGATATTGAAATGATTATCATTAAACTCCTCTTCAGGAATAGGTGTTTAGGTAAATGGGTTTGTTATTGGATAAAACCTTAAAAAAATGAAAGGGAAATTTTGGTATACTTTAATTAAAACTTTTTTCTCTCTATTCAATGTTTTCCTTGTAGCTTTCAGATATTAATGAGCAGAAAGCTGGGTTTCTCTTGCTTAAATTCTACCATCATAATTTATTATTTCAAAACACTAAACTTTTCATTAGCCTTCCATTTAGTATGATTGATAACATTTTTATTTACTGCATTTACTTATTGACACCAGGCACAGCTCTGGACTTGAAAGAATGCCAAGCAATGTCAAACAAAATGTGTCTGATCTTTATTTTATTTTATTTTAACTTTATTATAAAAGATATTATCTTTATTATAAAAAGCAATTTTAAAATCCACTATTATTGTTTCCTTTTTATATTTTTAGTTAGTACTGTCTGTGTTCAGAGATACTCAACTAGAATGAAAAGGAGAGAAAAAAATCTCTAAAGAGAAGCATATTTTTTGGTACTGTGAAAAAAACAAAACGCTAGAAACAGGGTTGTTTTTCATCTGTTCTAATTCCCACTTGGAGAATACTACCACACACAGACACAATGAAGATTTACTCAGCAGTAATAAATACCTAAGCAGGCAGATGATGTGTGGACTTGTCATCTGCCTTCTGGAAATGGAATACAAGCACAAAGGGTTCTTCAGCTATGTGTTTGATCTTGCCCTCCACAATACCTGTCTACAAGGACGTCTACAGGGATGTATCAGCTTCCCCTGAAATCTCCCCCACTTAATGTGGATTGCCTAATGAAGTTGCCTCACAGTACAGACTTCAGGGGGAAAAAAGTTCTCTTTCGGCAATTTTTACTTGCTGATCCTTATGCAAAGTTAACCTGTTTCTTAGCAAACTTCAGAAATAATCTTTTACGTAGCATTCGGCTATTGCATCGTAAACTATGTCTAGATTTAAAATATATATGCTTTGTTTTTCTCCCAATTTGCAACAGGAAATAGTGAGCAGCTGGTAGTTTCAGAAATGTCCGTTGTGCCTACTTAAAAACAATTTTTCAAAAATTTCAAATATAAGTAAAGAATCTGAAGCAAAAAAACCCAAAACAAAACCCCCCAAAAACCAAAAAACCCCAAACATGGCAAATCTAGCCACCAACAACACAAGCTGTTATTGGCTTCACATGGCTTTTGCAACTATAAAGTCTCCTTTTTGCTCACCTAGGTGGGCACTGGAAAAGTTGTATTCATTTGCAACGAGCTTTGGACCAGGACTTAAAAAAATCACGTTTTCTTACTTAAGTCACGAGGACCTCTTAATTGCTGGTGACAAAAATCCAGCCTAGTCTTGGCACAGGCTTTCTTTTTGCCAGCTGGATCACAACTTCTCGAGGCGCCCTGCCGGCCCGAAGGACCTCGCGGGCAGCCCAGTTGGCAGTTATTTTTTTCTCCACTCGCCGCTAGGTTGCACTAGATAAAGGATGCTGTAGCAAATATGCGTCATTTAATTTAAAAAAAAAAAAAAAAAAGTAGGGTCATCACGTGACAAGAGTAAGAGAGAAAAAAAGCCAAAACGATCAGGTTTTTCATCAAAATCCCTTTTAAGTCGCCTTCCCTCAAAAGCCCGAAAGAGCTGAACGGTGACAAATCCCGGTTGGCAGATTTTTTCCCCGGGTTCCACCTCACAAGCACCCTAAATCTCCGCTTTCAGGTTCCTTCCCACGCCACAACGATAAGCCAGCGGCAAGCCTTTCTTAAACTGGGGGTTTTCGCCAAAAAAGCCGGGGTCGGTCCCCGGGAAGGTCCCTATTTAGGGGTTTATCGGGAGGGGACTGAGCCTGACGAGGCTGCAGGGCCGCGAGGCCCCGCCCCCCCCCGGGGTTCCCAGCACGCCCCGCGCGGGGAGGACGCGGCGGCGGGGGAGGGGCGGAGGAAGGGGCGGAGGCAGGGAAGAGAGAAGGGCGTCGGTTTTGCGACAGGGGCGGTGCGGTACGGAAGCGGAAGTGGAGGGTGCGCTTGGCGGCGGCGGCGGGAGCTGCGGAGTCGGGAATCAAAACAAAGGGCCTGGGGGGGGGGGGGGGAAGGCGGTGGGGCCGGAATGTGAGCGGAGGTGGAGCCGGCGGCTGAGGTGAGTTTGCTGGCAGCGCTGGGAAGTAGTCCCCGACGCGTCCAGTGCTCTGGGGCCACCAGGCTGGAGAGGGGGAGAGCGTCCCCTCCTTTTGCCTGTTGCCGGCGGGGGTGGGGGAGGTTGGCTGGTATGAGGGGAAGGAATGGGACCCACCGGGCAAGCCCCCGCTACAGGTTCGAGTTGTCTCCCTTTCGGGTCAATTCACGACTGTCATTGCAGCGCCTCTGCTGCCCTTTGGGGGTGTTTGGCTCCCTGCCCACACTTGTCTCCTTTCTCCCTTTGGGGCCCTCCAGGTGTGGAGAGCAACCCTTCTTGTTGGAAGTTTAAGAGAGGAAGGGAACAGCTGGTGTTTTTGCAACCCTCCCGCCCCCCAGCGTTTTGCACCCTCCTCGGTCTATCAGCACTCCCTAGGGTGTAGCCTCTGGCTTGACTGAGCGTTGAGTTGTCTTAGGACTTGAACCACTCCCAATAATTGTACTGCGACACTGTGATACACCTTTTAGAGTTTCCCTGGCACCTTTCTTTTATTACCTAGAGCTTTCAAGTTACATCTTTTGCACTTTCTAACATCTCTGAGCATAAATATTCTGTTTTGCATACAGGGAAACTGAAACCTAAATGGGCTTCTGAGGCATTTATTGAACTTTGCATTCATTCAGGAGTTGTTGGTGGGTGCCAGACACTGTGCTAGGTGCAGGAGATACAATAATGAATAAGAAAACATGATCCATATGTACTACTGTGGAGTTTATATTTACGTGGGGGAGACAGATAATAAAAAAGCAAGCAACTAAGATAATTTTAGGAAGAAGAACTGTGAAAAACTACAGAAATACCCAGGAATGGGATGCGGTGATGTGGGGTGTTGAGGACTAGATTGGGTGTTGAGAGAAGGCCACTCCTAAATTTTCTACTTTGTCTCATTTAATACAAACAACAACCTATGAAGGTGCTACTATTATCATCAGGCCCATTTTACAGATGGGATCTGAGGTTCAGAGAGGTTGCGCATTGTCCAAAGCTGCACAGATAGGAAGCGGCAGAATTGGGGATTGATAGG